ATGCTAAATGGCCTTTTCGTAATCATTACAATCAAGGTAAACCCACCAATGCAGTGTCTGATGTGTGTATGTATGAACCATTCAAGGTATTGGCAAGTCAGTTACATACAGAATAATGACCTCACTATTCAGGTCAAACTTTACACACCCAAACCCCACCCTAAATATGTTAATTATCATATTCAGTTATGACCAAATTACAAGACAGAGGTTACATTCACCAATGTTTATGCATTCAATCTACTGAGATTATATTCTTTTCTTAATTTTCTAAGTCTTTAAACAACTACAAAAAATACATCACTGTACATGACACACACCATCAGGTGACAGATTTCTTCAAAGAACTCAGTACAGGTCTGTGAAGATTATCATCATACAGATGTGTGGATGACAAATTACTTTCAATACATCTATTTCTGATGTGAGTTGGATAACAAGCAAGAGTTGAAATTAAGAATGCTGCGGCATAAGACTGTACAGCTAAGGTGTTAGCAAATAAATCAGTACACCTAGTACTTTCAGCAGCACACTGAATATATTATAATTATGGAGGAAGATTTTATAACTACTGTAGACATCTCTGTATGATGACAGTCCTTAATTATAACACACAGCCAAAATAAACACTTCATGGAAAAAATCTCAGCCACTTAATATCTTCAACGTTCTTTCAGTACAGGTCTGTGAAGAATATCAGAGGTTTATAAAATCTTCCTCCATACTTTCTGTTAAAGAGGTGCAAACTTCATTCAGTGTGCTGCCGAAAGTACAAGGTGTACTGATTTATTTGCTAACATCTTAGCCGTAAAGTCTCATTAAATGTCAGTCCTTAAGTAATGATTGTGATACTACCCACACACAAAGTCTCAACTTATAATACATTTGAAAAATACTGCACATAGACTAGATTACACTGTACATCATAAAGAAAATTCAAGAATGCACAGCTACGTTAATATCAATGGCACTCTCTCAGCCAACAAAGAGTATATTCAATGTATTTTCAGTACAGGTCTGTGAAGGAAATCATCATACAGAGATGCCTACAATAACTGTCATGATTGTAATATTACATGTTATAGTGAAGAATTTGCCGATATCTAAACTATTTAATATGAATACACTGTATTACCTTATACGATATCACATACTCTAGCGTAAAAGTCCCTGAATATTATGAAACTATACCAGTATAAAGTCACCACTGACACTGATGTGTAGAGTAGTGTAAAAACTAATCACAGGACACAACACACCCTGTCAGGTAAGAGAGGTTCTTCAAACAATTTTCAGTACAGGTCTGTGAAAATAATCATCATACAGTGTCCGTGTATAAGACAAAAACTATTTCTAAACCTAGAAACATTTTTTCTACGACTACCACAACAATAAAGTTTTTAACACAAAACAGTTCAGATAAATTATCAGACTTTTGTCAGACAATAAGGTATATCTTCAAATGTACTTTCAGTACAGGTCTGTGAAGACTATCCTCATGCTGAGGTGTATATTATATAATATTTATGAATTAACTCAGTTCTCTGTCTTATCTGCTCAAATGTCAGTTTCTAAATAGAGTAAATTTAAATTTTCTGTTAAAGAGGTGCAAACTTCATCCCTGTACCCTACACATCCTGACTGAATATAATGACACTATCTATCATAGAGAGCAAAAATATGCAGAACTAAACGACACCTTGTCAGATAACAGATTTCTTCTTTAAACAACTTTCAGGACAGGTCTGTGAAAACTATCATCATACAGAGATGTCTACAGTAACTTTCATTATTACTCTTGCCATGTTTAAAATTATAGTTATTGCCAAATTACATGACACTGGGTGCATTTGCTAGTTATCTTGTTTAATCTATTGAAATAACATTGCTTTCTGAATGTTATACTGCTTAGTTGCGTATCCTTTACAGGACGTTGCAGAAACAACCCCAACAGCCTGGCTGCTGTATGGTTTTTCTAGGCAAATTTACGTCCAGTAGTTTGCCATTTCCTTTCTGGACGGTCTGCTTTCTTGATGACACTGTCGAAACCAACTCAAGGGCCACACGTCGCCCACAGCTAGGATCAAGCCCGGCATCCCGGCATTACAGAGCGTTCGCATCGACTCAGCCATAAACCAGATGAATTTTATATTACCGGTCAGAAAAAAATGCCCCCCCCCCCCCCAATATCACAGTAGAACACACATTCTGTCAGGCAACAGATTTCTTCAAACAACTTTCAGTACAGGTCTGTGAAGATTATCATCATACAGATGTGTGGGCGACAACAAAAACTATTGCTAACACTTATATTTCTGATGTGGTTAGTTCAATAACAAGCAAGAGCAAAAACTGCTGTGGCATAAAAAAATAGGATACCCTATACTTCTTCAATGAAGGGTGGCTAGATCACTTCAGCCTACTTTCCTTTCCAGACAGTTCTTAAAACTGACACCCATGTCATGAGACTGGGACAACCATACATAATAAAGCTGTACAGGTTTGAAAACAATCCTGCCATGTTGGAAACTACTATCTTGGCAGGCCACAGTGGCCTCTATTACAAACAACTGAAAATGACTTAGTCTTAGTCTGGGTTTCAACTTCACTGCAATTGGGTTTCCCCATACATTGCTACATTCGTTTGCCAGAAAATTTAACGAAATGAAAAATGAAAATATTATTATGTGCTAGCACGTGTAATGCACAAGTTATTCAAATCAGTTAAAAATTGTGGCGTGGTGATTTATGTCACAGGCGTGAGGGAAAGTTAAGTCCAACATGATGTGTATAAGGAGATACTCCGTACGTTATTTGGGCGCCAGTCCTTCACTATCCTGGTTGTACGGAACCTCACGCAAGACACCTGCAGCACGTCCTCGTCGTGCGCCACGGATAATGTCTCAAATGAGCATTAACAGAGCTGTCAGGGAATCTCGGAGTTTGGCGGCCCCCAGAGGTGATGTGTCCTTGTGGCTCTCATCAGCCCGCCCCCAAACGCTTGGGTGAAAAAGGTTATCAAAACTCATTAGGAACATGAGTATGTTTGCCAAACGTACAGCTAAAATCACAACCCTTGGTTAAAAGATTGCGGAGTGAAGAGAACATTGTTCACTGTACATCCTCCGTTAACCCTCAGTGTCGTCGTCACCGCGCTGAGGTACACCACAACAGCAACCATCCATAGGCTGGCCATCCATGTACATCCTCGGTTAACCCTCTGTGTCGTCGTCATCACGCTGAGGTACGCCAAGACAGCAACCATCCATCGGATGGCTAAGCCTAAATGTCCGACAAAACTAGATCCTACGGCGCACGAGCAAGCTCAAAATCTGACCATCACAATTTGTATTGAACGGAAAAAGACCAAATGTCCACACCCAAAGACCCCACTCGCCCGAGTGTTGGGACCAAACTGATAACGATATGCCTGACGCAGGATGTAAAATTCTGTCGGGCTAACGGCTCGTCAAAGAAATCTAACGTGCGAGAAAAAAAAAGAATGTACCTATTCGTGTGATCACAAAAGTCCAAAACCAGTCTACTTCCAGAGGGCGTAGCCCTTGTCGAGCGGGAGGCCTAATACGGTTGTGAGGTTAAGCAGGCATGTGCAGGACGTGACGATTCTTTGGGTGAGCCCAGAACCAGAGCGCCATGTGCCGGCTCTGCATACATGAAAGCCTCCTTGGATGGCGGGGAATGCCTATGATCTGCCCCTGCCTTCCCTTGAGGGCTAACCGTTCCACAGGGGGCTGCCCCAAAGGAGTACTCCGGGGGCAATACCTGCGGAGAAGGAGACAAAGTGGACACCACACAAATCAGGCAACGTCTCGACCCACACAAAACAATTGCCACAGTCATCCTAGAAATAGGCCTGACGTCTTCCTTCGAAGTCGGAGTACAGCTGCCCATGAGGCAGGGAACAGTAAAACGGTTGTACACGCAAAAATCAGGTCCAGGTGAAAGCCAAAAGTCCAAGCGGACGATTAACCGGGACCTTCCGCCGAAATTCACAGCCGGTGATCGATAAAAAAAAGATTTTTTTTTTAAAAGTTAAAAGTCAAGCAGTATAGGAAGGAATAGTGACTTCATATCCACATCAAAGTTTACATTTGCCTTCTGACATAATATAAAATCATACAAAGCTAAGTTACACTCTGTCAGCCAACAAGGAATATCTTCAATGTACTTTCAGTACAGGTCTGTGAAGAATATCATCATACAGAGATTAAGACAATAACTTACAATTTAAACTTTAAATCGACAATATTCCCTTTATAAGCTCTGATACAGCAAGACAGTAATGAACAGCTGGAGATTTCAGCTTTTTCATCAATTTGCTTGGTGACTGGATGTCTCATAATATTGATGTCAGCTGGTATATCAACCCCTGTCAAAAGCATCTCCTTTCTATGTTACATTCCTTAACCTGCTTCAGTCAAGAATTCTACTGACGTGCATTAACTTAAGTTACAGTTGTAAATGTCTTCATGTTACATCTACCGTCTGTAGAACTTTGCACATTTATGTTGTCCAGATCTGTCACAGGAGAAATGAACTAACATCTAGCTCACCACATAACTGTTTTCTTTCTTCTTTGAGAACTACTGGAATGCCTCCCATCGTCAGGGGAGGAATAGATCTCTAGAACAGGCTCTGTTCACTTTGTATATAGTACTTTTCAGTCTTTATGAAATTTGTGCGGTCCATCTTCTTTCTGCGTGGTCGACCTCTGGGTCTGTTACCACTGTATCTGTATAACATTGCTCTGTCTGCTGCCAATCTTGTTATATGGCTACACCATTTGACCTGTTGTCTACCTATAAACAACAAATCAAATGGTTTGGCCATGTAACAAGATTGGCAGCTGACAGGGTACCACAGAGAGCAGTGTTATACAGATACAGTGGTAACAGACTTTCAGAACAACACAGAATAATATCAAGAAGCCAAATTAAATGGCCCACATGAACAAGAACCAGATTACATTACCCACATACCTCAGAATAGATTTCTGAATCAGCAACACATTGCATCCAGCCTTCTTGATTTTCTTCACAATGTCAAGAATGTAAGCTCGTTCCTCCCGTAGGACACGGTCCATCTGAGTGTAGTCAGAGACAATCACTTGGTTGTCCATCTGCCAAGTACAAGAACATATTTAACATTCGAGAACAACATTCAGGTTAAAAGTTAGTTTTAGAAAACATTTTGTGTAAAACAGCCACAACATTTGGTAAAAATAGTCTGAAGATTTAAAAAATTGTTATACATAAAATTCAACACCTGCTTTAAAAAAAAAGCGCATTTAGTAAACTATGCTTAGAATTCAATAACATGAAACAATTACACAATTAACTTTTAAAACAAGATTGAGCAAGACCACTTCCTAAATAAATAATCTTCAGAACTAGAACAATTTTCAAAAAAAAACTTACATCAGTTTTGGGTGGGGAAATACAAAACTGAATGAGGCCAATTTTAGCCTTTTCCACTTTGGTGGGTCCCCCTGCTCCTGAAGTCCTGCTGGTAAACACCAGGCCTTCAATCAGTTCCGTGTCTTCCACTGTACCTCTGCAACATTAGCCAAGGAAGACAAAAATGAATGTTATAGCCACAATTTTTTTTTGGCTGCATTCCAAATTGCAATTCTTAACAATCACCGACTGTAAACTTTGGCAGAAAGTTCTGGTCATATATCCCCTTACATGACTTCAATTTCGCATGCACAACCATTGTACAGATCTGGCATATTTGTGTGCAAACTACTAGTTCTTGGATCTCAGATAGATGCATTCTGACTGACAGATAAACACCCTTTCATATGTTGTTAGGAGGGCAATGGGTGCCCCCCCCCCCCCCTCCAAAGTCCAGGAACCCACAAAAGTAAATTAGTCGAAATGGGTTTATTATACATAAACGCTAGTTTACACCAGGGTTCATAGCCAAATTTACCAATCAATTTCAAGGCTTTTCAAGGTCTTTTTCAAGGTCTCCTTAGTTTTTTTTAAGGTTGTCTCGGTGTAATACTGAAACCAGATTTTTGCCTTGTTCAAGGGTGTACTGAGCACACAAGGTACTTCATTTGTGCCACATGTGTTGGTATACCAGCAAAGATATCATCATCATGTAGCATTTCCTTTGTCCTGACAAAAAAACCTCGGTCTCTCACCAGCTCTCCCGCCTCATGTACTTTTTTATACTCAAGGAGTCACTTATATCCTGTGCCCATCTTCGTGTTGGTCGGCCCCTGAGCTTAATATAGTGTTTGAAATTTTTTTTTAGGGTTTGATGGTAGAGGGCAGCAAACTGAAGTCCTGTCTGTTCTGGACCTGGTACCTGAGAGGGTTAGGGTAGAGAGAGAGAGAGAGAGAGAGAGAGTCATGAAGAGAGAGGAAGACACATGCTGAGGTAGGCTGGGAGAGACAGTGTAAAGATGGACAGATGAAGGTAGAGAAAAGAAGGAAAAGAAGTCTGGGGAAGGAGGAAAAAATGAGAGGGAGGGATGGAGACATGATGAGGAAAAGTGGGGAAGGGACAGCGAAAGACAGAGAGGGAGACAAATACAGAAAGAGGGAATGCAGATACAGAGATGGGCAGATGAAAAGAGAAGGAAAAAGGGAACAAAACAGAGATATGGAAGGAGGAAAATATGACAAAGAGTTGAAAGAAGGGAGACAGAGGGAGAGAGAACGGACAGGGTGAGAAGCAGATGCAAGCAGAGAGAGATGTAGACATAAAGGAGAGAGAGACAAAGGGACAGCACAGAGAGGCAAGCAGACAGAGGGAGAGAACCAAAGAAAGAGAAAAAAGGCAGAGCAGGAGAATGGGAGGGAGGTATACAAAGAGGAAGTGATGAAGGGAGGCAAACAGACATAAAGCAAGAGAGAGAGAGAGGTGGGTAAGGAAGGCAGTGACAAACACAGATTAAGAGAGAGGGGCAGGAAGGAAGACAAGATACATCAAAGAAAAAAAAACAGCCACCTACCCCCCCCCCCCCCCCCCCCCATTTTATGAAGAAAAAAAAAGTCCAGGGGATCCCAACCCACCACTGGTGGAAAAATAGAGAAGTTTACCCACACACATAAATAGGTCAGACACATAAATAGGTCAGGGCAGCAGTGGACTTCCTTTTATTTCTGGTTTTCCAATTACAGAAAGGAGGGGAGAGAGGAGGTGGTGGAAAGTGGTGTAGAAGGCTGAGGTGGTAAGGGTGAGACAGAGGAGGTGAGAGAATAAAGTTTAAGAAAATAAAGTGGGCATGAGACAGGGAGAGAAAGAAGGGAGTAAGAAATAAGATGAGATATAGAGGGAAGAAGGTAGCAGGAAGGGGTGCATTCCCTCCCCTAGGTGTCATCAATATGGGAGGAGAAAAAAAAAAGGGGGGGGGGGGGGTGACGGCAAATGTGTTTTTAAAAGTACACATATATTTAATGTGTGGGAGGGGGGAATGGTGGACATGAAATGTTCTGCACTAGGCAACACATAACCTTCTACACCAACTGAAGCTATGGAGAAAGAAAGAGAGAGAGAGAGAGAGGGAGGGAGTGAGGGAGAGTGGCAAATACAAAGAGAAAGAGGAAAGCATTGACACAGACAGGTAGAGAGTGAGGAACAGGTAGGACAAGATGTGAGGGGGCGGGAAGGGAGATGGACAGAGATTAAGGCCGCTAGGAAAACAAACACATCAAAAGAAAATATCCACCATGTTCACACAGAATGCCCCCCCCCCTAATACAACTTCCTGTGTACTTGAGTTGCTAGGAAGAGTTATGGAGCCGCATTTAACCACATTTAAACAAGAAATAAAATAGGAAAAAGGGGGAGGGGGGACAGTAAATGAGAGAGTAAAAGGAAAGATAGAGAGAAAGAGAAGAAGATGAAGATCAGAAGGGAGGGTTAGAGACAATGCAGGAGACGGGAAGGAAGGAGCAATAGGTAGAAGAGTGAAAGAGGGAGGGAAGAGAGAGAGAGGGGTGAGACAACAGAAGAGGGAATCTCGGGGAATTACAATACTGATCACCAAACACACTGTAAAGATAAATCCAGGCCAAAAATAGAACTGGGAAATCCAGCTGCAGTCACTTTGCTTAGCCCCAATGCCATCTCTAATTAATAGAGAAGGCCGTGCTTAGCCCCCACCACGTCGACTATTTATAAATACAACTGAACCGAGCCCCACCATCTCCCAATGTAATCCTTTCTAGAAACCACGGCCATAAACGATTTATACTGTTCATTCTGTCCGACTTGCTAGAAACAAAGGCACACACACACACGCGCGAGACGGAAGCCACTACTTCCCGCCCCATGCCACACCGCTGCTGTCTGCATGTATTCATGATCTGCAACACAGCCCGCCCTCCCCTGGCCTTTAACAAGCCATTTCGGCTGAAAATAGCCAATAATCAGCTGCCCTCACACCTGAAACGACCTTACAACGAAAGTAGCCAAAAACTAGCCAAATGGCCAAAAAAGCCAAATGGCTCCCCCAAAATTGCATGTGCTGAAAAAAAACAGGATTTCTGACGATTTCATTGCCGTGGTCAAAATTCACGGCTTTTCAAGGTCGGAATGTCTTTTATAAGCTAAAAATCATGGTTCAAGGTCAACGAAAAAAATCCCGGTAATTTCCCGATCCACTACGAACCCTGTTACACTTACCCAAGTTTTTTGACGATCTTAATGTCATTAAGATCTACATTTGTGGCTGTGACTGGATCAATGACTTTCATGACAGCATCCACAGCAATGGGTGACAGAATGGAAGAGTACTGAGACACAACCTGAAGATAAAAATTAGGTATAATCATTTTTCTTTGTAATATTTTCTATCCGCATAATAAGACAAAATAATAATGCAAATAAAGTGCAACAATAGATTTGCAATAAATTGGCAATTCAATAGCGATAAATGTACTGCAAGACTCCATGAAGATATCAATTCACAGATAAGATACAGTAACATTACCTTGGAGTTTAAGGCTGTGGATGCGCTTTTCAACAATGATTCTCTGTCACTCAGGTCAAGAGGAGTGACCATGGACTCCAGGATTTCTGTAGACTTGGTAGCTGCACGCTGGATTCCTTCAGATATTGCTGTAGGGTGAATACCTTGAGAAGAGACATATATTTTGTTAAATGTTCAGCATTTACATTTTTTGTCAGTTTAACTCACTCCTAAACGTGTCATAAAAAGATAACTATAATGATAAATTCATTAGCAGATGAGAGTGAGTGATGGTAACAGTTTGAAATTATTTTATTCTCTGTGTATCGGAAAAACTGGGGCTACAGCTAACACTAACCTTCTGTAACGATATTAAAACGTCAATTCAAGGAGAAAAATACGCATAACTATAATGATATGAGAATTTAAATGGCTGAACAAACTGGCCAAAGACACAAGTGTCAACTCTTACCCCTTGACAACAGACTAGCACTTGCATCTAGTAAACTGCCAGCTAAAACAACAACAGATGTGGTCCCATCGCCTGCTTCTATGTCTTGAGCCTTCGAGAGTTCAACAAGCTGAAGAATATAATCAGCATAATATTTGCAATATAATCTGATAAACTAGGACACGTTATATTCTAGGTATATGTCAGACACTTCACTATGGACCAGCAATACCATACACACTTTATAACTTGGTTAGCTGGAGAAGTTTCAAGCTTATATCGTGCCAAATTTACTGACACAAAATATTACTCCACGAAGTTTGAAGAAAAAACACAATTTCCAGTCACATTACTGCAAGTTTTAAAAAAAGGGGGTTGGTGAACCACACTGCAATAGGATTTAGCCATATACTTACGGAAAGCAGAAGATAACCTGAGGTTGCTGACACCTCTATAGTCTGTCCTCAAATGAAGCCAATCCACGTTTCTACTCCTCAGCCAGTATATTCTACGTTTCTACTGCTCAAATAAAGCCAGTATAATCCACGTTTCTACTCCTCAAATGAAGCCAGTATATTCCACGTTTCTATCTACATTTTCCTTTTGTCTCAAACTGTATTGTGTTGCCCCTTTACAAACTGTGTATTTGGAAAAAAGGCTAAAAGATAACACTATAATTACTCTATTAGCTTAGGTTGGCACCTTTCCCTCTCTACAGAAAATAGCGTTATGTGGTGCTATGAGGAGGGTTGGAGCACATGGCGATGGCGAGTGTGACTAAGTAATAGCTTATTCCCCCACCATTTAAATAATACTTTAAACAAATTAGGTAACCTAAACTAAATGTATGAGAAATCATGGTCTATACCTTACCATTTTTGCTGCTGGATGAAGCACCTGCATCTGTTTAAGAATAGTTGCTCCATCATTGGTAATAGTAACATCACCATTAGCTGCCTGAATCTAGATATAAACAGACATAATTTATCACAATAAAGAAGCAATGTTTGTTCTGCAACCAAATATAAGTGAACAATTCATAATTTCTGACCACAAACAGGGAAAATCCACCTTTCACGGGACAGTAATAATTCAGGGGGTGGGAGATGAAGCGTATAGTGTAGTATTTTAACACTTCATTTGCTGTGCAGTTTTCACTTTTTTGTGCTGTGATGTCTTTTGCTGTAGTCGTGTGTGTGTGGTGCAATTGCGGGTATGCAGCTTTTGTGGGGGTTTTATTTGGCTGGGTAGGAGGCTGCTGTTTTGTGATCTGTTTGTGTGAAATTTTATATGCAATTGACAGGATAAATTGCCATTTGGGGTACTCTGGGGGTGGCCCTAAAATAGGCCAATTGTTCTAGATGTATAGCGCTGGGTTCACGAATTCACAATCAGAACAATTTTACATGTAAGTACATCTGGAGAGGGGTCGGAATGCTGCACGAGCTGTTGAGGCGGCACGAACACATCATGACCCGCACGCTCAGTGCGTTTATACCACATAAACGTGGACACATAAGAGTCTGATAAATGTCTGTGCGTCCCATTTTCTTCTTTTTTTGCCGATCTTCACATGCCCTTGATGCAGTGTATGCGCACCTGTGGTGTGGTTGACACAATTTATGAATTGATGGTGAGATGCGTCAATCCAGGAATATTCTCAATTCCATTGTGCGCATGCCACAGTTAGGAGACTACTGTCATGCCAGGTCTAATGTTTTTACTAATAATCAGGAGAAACATCTCTGCTTTTCTGCCTGGAACGCAGAACATAAAGCACTCACCTGTTTCGTGACAGATGTCACTTAATACCCACTGTTGTGGAAACACTCATCCACTGATTTTTCCGCCTTGCGAACACTTTCATAAATTTAAACAGTGGTGTTCCCTCAGCCGATAACCGCAGGATTCAATAATAATGTACTGGCAAAAACCTCCAGTAAGTAGTTGCTCCACTTCAGTTGTATTTTTCGACATGCCTAGCTCTACTTGACAAAATCTGATGCTAGTCAACTTGTGAGACCAGTAGTACAGAAACATAATTATCTGTCTGTAAGGCAGGTACAACCCTTCCAGCCATGTTCCTTGCTTCAATGTTATGTTCAGACAACAGGTCAACTTTCCAAACTGCCTTCGGTCGTGGCTTTCAGTCAGCGATAACACCATCACATGATTGTTGCCACAACCTCTGATACTATGCACAATGCCATGATGTTGCAGGAAAGCAACGATGCTCCTCTTTTCAGACACTGATGCTGCTAATTCACGGAAATTCATGGCAATGAAGACTGAACACAAATATTCTGTGAATAGATTTTATCATTTCTAAAGATGTCCACGATATCATAAAGAAGTCTTCAGTGTACCCAATGTGAAAACTCAGCAACCCATTTAAGCCACTGTTCAAGGCTAGTCGCCCAATAATATTCCATAAACTGCTCTCAACTGAGTCAAACCAGGAAGAAAAGGTGGTCAAGTTTATCATTAAAACAGTCAGGAGTTAAAGAATGACCAGATTATTTGAATGTTACTAGATATTGCCTATTCAAGTTGACAGCAAAATGATTTTTCCTCTGCATAAGTTGAGACTAATACCAAATAAATCAAATCAATTCACACCTTTTACCTGGATCAGCTCAAACATGGAGAAAAATGGACTGATACAAACACAGACATGCGTAAGTATTCTAAGGATGTCATACTTGTGAGCTTCTGCGGAAGTAAGAATTCCTGCTGCTGACACCCAAGAGCACAAATTCATGTCCAAAAGAACATCTATACATCAATATGACGACAGAATATTTTGGCCAATGTTAATCAGCAAAAAGTAAAATGTATATCTATACTGCTAATTACATCAGAAATAAAGCTAGACTATATCTTTTTGGAAAAGGTTATTTGAACAGGAAAACTGCTATAAGCAGAGGAACACAGAAATATTCCATGCATACAAACATGTAGGTACACACAAACGCAAAATATTAGAAATATTAAACTATTTTACAACATACCATTTTGTCCATGCCACGGGGGCCCAAACTCGTCCGCACAGCATCTGAAACAGCTAGAAAGAAAAACAAAAATTATTGTTAAGAACCAACTTGTATAGCCTGAGATAAATTTGTAATGGGCAACCTCTGAAGGTGCACTGATGTATCATAAAAATTAAATTACTATTCCACAATGCTGGTTCTATAATCTTGATCAATACTAAATGTGTCTAGTTAATAGTGGACACAATTACAAAAGTAAAACAAGGTCATTAGAAACTTGTGAACATGAAAACGTGGTTGAATAAGAATAAAGCTTTGCTATTGATAGTTCGTTATATTTTTGCAAAACTAGCTAGCAAGGTATGGCTACAATATTTAAACAATTAGATCCTACGTAGCCAAGTGTCTTGCACTTGTTTCAAATCCTCTCGCAATGATTAGGTCATTTCATCAAAAATCCTGTTTTTTTTTCTGCAAAACTGCACACAAGTTCAGCCTTACTGCACCCTCTCCTCCAGGAAATTGCATGAACAGCAAGCAATCTTCCATTCAGTAACCACTATTTTATATAGTTCTCAAATAAATGCCTGCAGACACTGAATGTAGAAAATGTAGGAGTAGGGAGATTTGGGAGTAGTGGCCTAGAAAATCTGTATGTGAAGCAAGGTTTACTCTTTTAAAACCAATTTTACAATTGAGAGAGACAAAGCAGAGCATTGGTGGTAGGGCTAAAGGATGCCAGAAGCTTTCTACTTTGTGGTTTCTGGTCAGGAGGCCGCCACAAAGAAAACACCAGGGTGTTCAACGCTCTTTACATCTTTAGGGGGAAGGGAGCTCAGAGGGCTTATGCCTTGTTTAATTTGTCATTACCAGAAAGAAATCAAAACACTTATCAAGGGAAAATACAATGAACCGTGGAGAGAACAAACCAACAGTAAATATCCACAAGTGATTCCAGCAAAATCTTAAATATTCACCTTCACGAGATGCTTGTTAAAAGACAGTAGGTTTATTCTTTTATTGCCCTAAAATGGGCACTCATAACTCACTTGAGAAATGGATAAGGCTGTGATATCTGACAATGGGCAAAAATTTTGAGATAAAAATCTACCCAGAGTATTTCAGGATGCTTGCTGGTGCTACTGAGTTTGTGCACTGCTATGAGATTCTTCGGACTCAGGCTTGAGTAAGAAGTAGAACAGAGCACTTATGGGTTATCACCCTTGTGCCATGATGAGATCCGTTGCATAAACAAATGTCCACAAGACCAGTCAGCAGACTCAACAGAAAGCAACATACAACAATTTTCTGTCTTTGAACAGGACACTGCAAGCTCTACTACCACATGCAGACTACAGTCCCCAAAGTGTGCCTCTCAAGAGAGGACCACAAACACATGAGCACATTCTGCAGACCTGGACGCTCTGCCTACAACTTCAAAAAGTAACCTGGCCTTAAGAGTAAAGTTTGCAAAGAAAGCTATGGAGAACCACGCAGGACCTGCAGCTGACATGCGAGTTTATATAGGCTACCCACCTGATAGTCTGACCTGAGCATACAAAATCAATCACAAAGAAGAAGTTCAATTTTTCAAAAATAATAATTATTATTAGGATTATAAACTTAAAGATTGCCTGAATTCCTAATCCTAAGTTCCTGCACCTATCACGTGGGATTCATAATTCAAAGATACCTGCCAGTTCAGTTCAAGTTGGAACAGCCATTTATCTATTATATATAAGGAGGTTTTCCAGGGAAGTAAAGGCGGATGGTGTGATACTGACATCTCCCATCTTATGCCGATTGGTCTATAAAATACAGGTCTAGCCCTATACACCTAAAACAATGAAAAAGTGTCCTTTACTGTAGTGTTTTTATATAAAGATGCTGATGGCAGTGTTTCATGGTGTTCTGTCAAATCAGCATCAAGAGTGCTGATGGCAGTGTTTCATGGTGTTCTGTCAAATCAGCATCAAGAGTGCTGATGGCAGTGTTTCATGGTGTTCTGTCAAATCAGCATCAAGAGTGCTGATGGCAGTGTTTCATGGTGTTCTGTCAAATCAGCATCAAGAGTGCTGATGGCAGTGTTTCATGGTGTTCTGTCAAATCAGCATCAAGAGTGCTGATGGCAGTGTTTCATGGTGTTCTGTCAAATCAGCATCAAGAGTGCTGATGGCAGTGTTTCATGGTGTTCTGTCAAATCAGCATCAAGAGTGCTGATGGCAGTGTTTCATGGTGTTCTGTCAAATCAGCATCAAGAGTGCTGATGTCAAAGGTGGGATACAGAATATTTCCGTGTGATCAATACAACTGCATTAACTTCCTCTCGTGTCTATGACAAAAATCACCACAGGAAAATAAACTACCATTTTAAGCATGCAGCCTATTAGTGTATTGAAAACACACCTAAATACACCTAATAGTATTAGGCTGAGCACCACATGTAAATGCATCTTGAGATGACACACACGGAGCCAAGGAATGAAGTCGTGTTTTAAGCCAATTTTGCTTGAACATTAATTAATCATTATTAAACTTTTTTACTTTTCAAAATGTATAACAAATATATTGTATATACCTGGTAGACACATTTTTTAATGAATTAGTTGCGTAGGCGAATCAATCAATTATATAAAGAGTAAAATAGATTGTCTTGCAAATGTAAGTCAAAAGCAACAAACACCCTAAGATCAAGGCCCAAATGCAAGGCATGCAGGTGTTGCTATGGCACCTGAGAAATTTTATCTGCTACCTGATTTATGCAGCTTCATTTTAATTTTATCAAGTGATTTTTGTTTTTGCAACAGCCAGCTGCTTAGAAATAGAAGCTGGCTTCACATTATTTTTAGTTTTGTTGATCCATGCATATAGTATTGGAAGCCGTTTAAGTGGAATTGTGTGTGTGATGTAATATGGAGATTCAAAGATGTGAGCTGATGACTGCTTTAAATATCACCATGACTATTCGGAGTTCTTTTCAGCAATATTTAAAATGGGACCTTAGGGGATGTAATCTGTTCTAAATTAGTAGTAGTTTAAATGCCGAACCTAAGGAACGCAATCAATTGTTCGTGTAAGTTCATAAAATAAAAATAATAATACTGTTTAAGGTTAGGGCTAGTTAAGTGTTAGGGTTAACCCTAACCTGGAGCAATATTTATTATTACAGAATATTACTGATACTGTGTCATCGTACACTAACAATGGATTACATTTCCTAGGGTTGCTGTTTCAGGTATTGTCTTAATTTCTTTAAAGAAAAGACTTTTTTCCTGCCCATCATACTGTCATTCTATAAAAATCCCTACGATACAACATTCAATTGGTGAGAATCACGCAGGCCACCTTCCCTTTTCAGGACTTTACCTGGAACATTTAGGCTGGGTTGATCTGGAAGAGAAAGAATCGGCTATCTTTCGAATAACGGGCATTAAAGATGGCGGCCGCAAAATATCCGTTCGAGCCGCAGTTACGTTTCAATTGCGCAATTCCGGCTACTTAATTTGCGGTTTTCCGGCGGCTATCGCCACTGCTGCATGGCCCCCACAGCGCGGATTGGGGCTAAACTAGATGGCTAGGACTCACGAGCAAAGCTGCAGGAGATGTGGAAGCTGCTGCTCGTGAGTACTAGCCATCTAGTTTAGTCCAAATTCACGCCCCGTGAGCGGCATGGGGACCACGTGGACGCAGCGGTTGTTAGCGAAAATTCGCAAATTAAGTAGCCGGAAGTGCGCAATTGACACTTGACTACGGCTCGAACAGATATTTTGCGACCGCTATCTTTAGCGCCCGTTATTCGAAGGATAGCCAAAGAATCAGTTCATATTACAGATTATTCGGCTATCCAATTAACGGGCTCAAAAGATGGCGGCTGATGCCGGCCAAAAACAGGGCCTCAGTCACGTGTCGATTGCACACTTTTGGTGACCTAATTTGCTGTTTTCCGGCGACTACCGCCACCGCCGAGAGTATCCTCCACGCCGCTCATGCAGACACATCGGACTGCATCGAGCATCTGCTGATCAGGCTAACTCCCTGTGCTGCGTTTTCTTTGTCAGTTAATCTACAGGTGTTGCTCCTAGTGAACCTATCCAGAGCAACTGTGTAAAGACTAGTACTAGTCAGCCCTCAAGGGAAGGCAGGGGCAGATCCAATTGATCCATCATGGACACTCGCCAAGCCAATGCTTAAATGAGCTATTATCATCAGTTGTGTGCACGATGCTGGGGCTCCAATTGATTCCCATGCCTGTGACCGAAATCATTGCCACACACATTTGGTTTACTACTAAGCTTATGTATAACATAACTACTATAAGGTATATAACATTAACATACTGCCAGTTAAAAAAAATCTTTTTATCCTATACAATTAGTAATTAAACACTATCATCATTCTGATCTTACAGATTCTTTAATCATTATCTTTATCAGTTTTTTTTAAGCATTCACTTATATTTAATTGTTTATACTACCTCTACGTGTAGCGACTACGGTGTTCGGCAATTGGCTGTCTTTTGGCAATTTCCGTTACCATGGAAACCGTTCGAAACTTGTTTCGGAAATGTCAGCTGGGGTTTCGGGATAGGTCCTAATCTCTCATGAAATTTTGCGATTGGTGTGATTTTCACCCACTATAAAATGCTGAAAACAGCGGGAAGGAACCCGATTAACAGCGCATGTCTACGACAGCCGGACATCCTGTTTTTCTGTTACATCAGTTTGATTGAAAATAGCGATAAGTTTTTCAAGGTTGACTTTAGGCTTTAACTGCTACTCGTCCTGGTAATGCTAGTTATAATTGAATTCTCCGTCCAATTTTACATTTGTGTATAAAATTTCTTTCTGAACAGTGGCTAGGTAGATGTACAGTGACATTTTTCAGGTAATCGCTGGCTCAGCCAGTGGCTGTGTCTCATTGCCTGCCATCTTGTCCAATGACAGTCCAATGTAAACAAAGCCAAAACGATAAGTGCGCAGTTTGGTGCGCAGAGAAAACCTTGTTTCTGGGTCACAAGTTTTAGCAGCTGCTTTCTACATCTCATCTCCTAGCGACTACAGTTTGAGTTTCAGAAATTTGCGATCTTTTCGACAATTTACATTACCATAGAAACCGTTTGAAACTTGTTTCGGAAATGTCGGCTGGGGTTTCGGGATGGGTCCTAATCTCTCATGAAATTTTGCGATTGGTGTGGTTTTCACCCACTCTAAATAGCTGAAAACGGCGGGAAGGAACTCGATTAACAGCGCATGTCTACGACAGCCGGACGTCCTCTGTTTTTCTGTTAGTCATCAGTTTGATTGAAAATAGCGGTAGGTTGGCTTTAAGCTTTAACTGTTACTGTACCTGGTAATGCTAGTTATAATTGAATTCTCCGTCCAATTTTACATTTGTGTATAAAATTTCTTTCTGGTACGTGGCTAGGTAGATGTACAGTGACATTTTTTAGGCAATCGCATGCGGCGAGTGAGCTGAGTCTCATTGCCTGCCATCTTGTGCAATGACAGTCCAATGTCAACAAAGCTGATACAGAACTGCGCAGTAGGTTGCGCAGAGAAAAACTTCTTGTTTCTGGGTCACAAGTTTTAGCAGCTGTTTCTTACATCTCATCTCCACAGAAACCTACATATCTCAGCTCAGAAATGACATACAAGCCTAAATAAGGTACCATTGGAAAGAGATTGTTTACAGCTATCTAACTGTGCTGGTTTTAGTGGTGTAGAGGGCATTTTAAAAATTTGACTAAAGTACCTAGAGTCTACGTGACACCGTACCGGCCGTACCCCTACTCCATTTTTGTCATTTTTCGTGGTTATTTTTATTTTCCTCCACCTGAGCAATTTTGCATGTGGAAAACACAAGTTTTACTTTTTTTCAACTGTCATTTTGCTATGATCATTATGTAAAATAATCAACTCTTATTCATGCCTAAGAAATCATTCACTTTTATTTAGTACGACAAAACAATGACTACATTACTACATGTCACTAACGTGACTATCGACCGGCTGTGAAATTACCTTTAGTTGCTTGTATGTTGCTGTATCGAATCTGTGTCGGTTTGTCCTTATCTTTGTATTGAGATCGACTTACACCATCTCCTCCAGCTCCTGCAGAACCAAAAGGCGTCATTTCTGTATGTTATGTCCTACGATTAGAACAGATTGTATCCTCAAAATTCAACGCTTCTCAGATAATTCTAGAACAGACATGTAAAGTCCTAGGCTGATCAAAAAGTTTACTCATGCAAATGGCGGATAGTTACTATTTTAAGAAACAATTATTTAATTATGGAATCCAAATTCTGATTTCAAGTTACAAAGACTGAAAAACTTGTGTAGGGTCATATCATAATCACACGGAATGCAGAGACTGGTCAGCAGGTGCCACAGAGTTGGAAGTTCAGGAATTAATTTAAGATAATGCTCGCTCAGAAGATTTGATCATTTACACAGACGGTTCAGTGTCAAGAGGCAAAAGATATGCTTGGGTTTCTTAGCAAAAGTTAATGGTCGATGTTTGGTGCAGGAGAGCCTAGCAAAAGATACCACAACATCCAGCTTAAGAATGGAGGTGGAGGCGGTCACTGCAGCTTTCAGCTGGCTAGAGAACACGACACACACACACACACACACATCGTGATTGTAACTGACTCAGAGAGCACGCTAAGGAAGATCGGGACAGGCATGCTTCGAGCAGAGGGGCCTGCCTCGCTGCGGAGGACACGGGTGAGGAGTATTGTCTGGATTTTTTTCACAAGGTTATCATGCCGGTGTGTTGGGAAATGAACAGGCGGACAGACTGGCTGGCTCTGCACAGCTTGGTGGAATACTGATACATGATATAGCAGACGTGGTTAGTGGGAGAGCTTGTACAGATCAGATGAGCAGATTGATCACCACAGTGTGGTGAGATTGATGCAGTTGGGAGTGACGAGAGGTTCTGGCAGATGTTCAAAGCTAAGAGGAAAGGCAAGACGGACGTTTAATCAGAATGCTACTGGCACCATTAGTATCGGAACTCTTCGCTGGCTGCTGAAGATGGGGATAGAGCGCTTATGGGAATGCCCCAAGTGTTGTGATGTCGGTTCTTGAATCAAACAAGACTGAAATTTAAATAAATAAAGGTAATTTATTAAGGTATTATATTAATCATCACACATGCACACAGCCTATGCACACAAGCTCACAGGCTGTCGGGGGTCGTGAGTCTCCCAGTCGATTTTCAATGTTGTCTTTTAATTTTTTCCTAATCGATGCCTACTAAAAAAATTTAGTTTGTTTCACCCGGCGCATCTGTCAACAGTAGGCTGGGCTCTGAATCTATGTCAACCTTTTTCTGTCCTTTGTTCTTGTCTTTTTGTCTCGTATTTTTTTTTTTTCACAATCGACGTCTGTAAAAAGATAGAGGCGTCTCTTCATTGGTGGGTGGGGAGCTTCCATAGCTGGGGGGACCCAATTAATATAATTGTGTTTTGAGGGTCCATGTGGGTAATAAAAGTATACTGCGATTGAATCATGGTGAGTGGGGTTAATGTAAGAGGTATACGGTGGGGGTCCCCTGTCTGTTGTTATGGGGCACCCCTTATCACACTTTTTTGTTGAATCACTTATGTTGTATATACCCCTCTCTGTATATCGCCTTCCTGTAGATCTCCTATATGGTGTCTTGTTCTGTCCTTCTGTTGGTTGGTTTCCATCCCCTCCCTGTATTTCTCCCCTACAACATTGAGAGGCGGTCATTTACCATTACATAAACAAACAACACCAAATATTGAATAAAAGATAAGCAGAAGACGAAGAATAGTTCATAAATTTTCATTGCATCATTTTGTCACATAACAAGGCACATGCAGATCAAAATATACAATTCATTGTATTTTTTCTAGTAAGGCATTTATAAGTCATATATATATATATACACTGCTTGTCATATATTCGATAATACAAACATAATTTAGCAACAATGGAACATAGGTTAAAAGACCACAATACAAATAGGTCTATTCGTATGTTAATAACAGGTATTTCAGTTTCAACGATAAATAGACCATAAAATACATGGATTGTCCCAAGGTTCTCAGTAGTGACAGTTTTACAATGTGGAGACAAAAAGGATCAGTTATTTACATTGACAGTATATAGTTCGTTGTAATTTTAGTATATTTAACAAAATTACATTTTATTTAAATATAGACAATTCGTGTTAATTATCATAAGGGTATTGAAAAGTACATCAATATGCATTTTATTTACATATAGAGAAGTCATATCACAATTTTCACATGTATTTACATTTGATCACAGTCATTGTATAAGGACAGTCAAAGTAAAGTATCACAAGTGTGTAAGTCGCTGGGTTTTTTATTTATTTTATTTTTTTTTTTTTTGTTGAGTTTACCAGCTATAAACTCTGGTAGAAAGTTCTGGTTGTTCGTCCACTTCTGAAATGCAGTCCTGCTCCAGAACTTGAGTGTTGCGTGTGCATCCGTTTGATAGATCTGACACATTTGTATGCAGACTGTTGGTTCCTTGCCTCTCAGGCAGATGCACTTCGAAGGAAGCTCCCAGTTAGTCGACTCTTACGACATGCTTTTGGGCAGGCAGTGAGTCTATTCTGGTTTTCCCTATAATAGGGCCCCGGAACCCACACGGGGGAGTCACCCATCTAAGGCTGTAGACCAGTGTCATAGTTTTGTCGTCTCAGTGATACTAGATTGTAGCCCAGTGTCATGGTTTTGTTGTCTCACTGACACCAGGCTGTAGCCCAGAGTCGTAGTTTTGTCGTCTCACTGATACCAGGCTGTAGCCCAGTGACATGGTTTTGTCGTCTCCCTGATACCAAGCTGCAGCCCTGTGTCGTGGTTTTGTCGTCTCCCTGATACCAGGCTGTAGCCCAGTGTCATGGTTTTGTCGTCTCACTGATACCAGGCTGTAGACCAGTGTCGTGGTTTTGTCGTCTCACTTATACTAGGCTGTAGTCCAGTTGTGATTTCGTCGTCTCACTGATACCAGGCTGTAGCCCAGTGTCGTGGTTTTGTCGTCTCACTGATACCGGGCTGTAGCCCAGTGTCGTGGTTTTGTCGTCTCACTGATACCAGGCTGAAGCCGAGTTTCTTCTTCTTCTTCTTCTTCTTCTTATTCTTCTTCTTCTTCTTCTTCTTCTTCTTCTTCTTCTTCTTCTTCTTCTTCTTCTTCTTCTTCTTCTTCTTCTTCTGCGTTCGACATCAGTCATGCTAAACATTGAGTCCTGTCTGGGTCACAAATAGGATTGTGCGTTTAAGGTCGCCAACGGTCCCCCAGATCCATAGTCTTTGCTGGGAGAAGTTAGGGCAGTGCTGTAGTATGTGCCCAGGGGTCTGTCTTTCTGCTCCACAATCACAGGCAGCAGATTCTTTTATGTCTATCCTGTACAGGTGCGCTCGAAGACCACAGTGTCCAGTCCGAAGTCTAAAAATTGTTGTTTGTTCTTTCCTGTTGAGTTTGTTTATGCTGTCACTCTCTGGTCTGTAATCTCCATTCTGCCTTCTCCACTACCGCTTGAAAGACTGCTTTAGCGCTGTTTTTGGTTTGTGTAGCCCAGTGTCGTGGTTTTGTCGTCTCACTGATACCAGGCTGTAGCACCCACAGAATGCCAGTTGCTGCACTAAATAGAAGTCTGGCACTATATGCCAACTACGTGGAGAAGGTGGTAAATACCGGCATTACAGACAGAAATTCATAAATACCGAAGGACGGTAATTCACAGATATCGTTAAGACAGTTATTCACACATTCTGTTAAGACAACAATGCACACATACCGTTATGACAGTAATTCACACACGCTGGCAAAAACAGTAATTCATACATGCTGGAAAGTCAGTAACACTCACATGCTGGAAAGACAGTAATTCGTATATGCTAGAATAATAGTAATTCACACATGCTGGAAAAACAATAATTCACACGTGCAGTTAACAGTAATTCATACATTCAGCAAACAGTAATCTATACATGCTGGAAAGACAGTAATTCACACATTCCGTAAAGACAGTAACTCATACATGTCTTAAAGACAGTAATTCATACACGCCGTAAAGACAGTAATTCACAAATGCAGTAAAGACAGTAATTCATACGTGCGGTAAAGACAGCAAATCATACATGCGGTAAAGATAGCCATTCTTACATGTAGTAAAGACAGCTATTCGTACATGCGGTAAAGATAGTACTTCAAACGTGCAATAAACACAGTAATTCATGCATGCAGAAAGGGAGGGGAGAGGAAAAGGAGGAGAAAAAGAAGAAGGAGGAGGAGAAGGAAAAGAAGAAGGAGGAGAAGAAGAGGAGGAAGAAGTCATAGGTGTGCCAGATCCACCGAACCGACAATTGGCATAGGAAAATATCCTAGGAAGTAAAGACGACTGGTGTTGTCATCGACCACTTCATCGACCGTTGAATGTTGAGTGGGCTATCCTCCGAATAACTGTCCTAAATTATTGAGGCAGAAAATGTACCCTAACAGGGCCTCAGTCACATGTCAATTGCGCCCTTCAGTCTTCTTAAATTGCCGAGAGTATCCCCCACGCCGCTCACATGAGCAGCAGCTACCGCATCTCCTGCAGCTTCCCTAATTTTATTTGCTCTTGAGTCCTAGCCATCTAGTTTAACCCCAATCCACGGTCACTTCGGATGGCTACCGTATGCTTTAATGCGAGAGTATGCTAGATCAGCTGAGACAGCAGTCTGTCAATCTTTCCACAAGGGACTGTGATAAACATTCTGTGTGTTTTTCGTTGGCGCAGGAGCGGAGCAAAGATGGGGTGACCCGTTTGCTATGAAGCTGAAACTAAGACTACCAGACTACCAGTCTTCAGCCAGCAGAGGACAAACAAGAAGAAGAACAACCATTGGAAACACCTTCTTCTATTGAGCCGGCCGCCGAACGGGCTCTTGATGCCATCTTGAATGAGACAGAAACAATCGACGTTGCTGGTGAAGAAGATGCTAACCCTGCTCTCTTAAGGCAGCGGCATATTGAAGACATCGTAGCCGTCATTCACGACAGGCGGCCGAAAGTCTTCGAGCTCTTCACAAGTTCAATGTCTCTGCAGACGCTCAGCCTGAATGCCTTTTTCAAGTATTTTGGGCATCCATCAACAGATTTCACTGAACCTGTGGCAACGCCATTGTTGGCGAAACCCAGAAGTAAGAGAAGATCTGTTTTTCGCTGGGCGTCAAAGCGGAGGAAAGCCGCAACAGAAGAGCAGCATAAGAAGACATCACCGACCCAGAGAGGGAACAGAGGAAATCTTCTTCGGAGGATTTTCTGCTGTTGCCCGTAGCTCACAGCATGAATCAGTTCTGCTACAAAGGCCCTTTATAGGGCCACTGTACTTTACCTTTTTAATAAGGTTTTGGTTTAATTATTTAAAAAAAAATACATTTTGAAAATAGTATAGATTGATCGAAAGAGTAATAGGGAAAACGGCGGGGAGGCAGAGAGCGAGACAGAAAAAAAAAAGGAAAAAGACAGAGATAAAGGAGAGAAAGAAATACAGAGCGAATTTTTAAAAAAGGAGAGATGAGTAGAGATGGAGTAAGAGAATGAGAGAGAAATAGACGAAAAGACAGCTCGCTAAAGAGAAAGACAGACAGAAAGCGAGAGAGGGAGAACAAGTGATACAGACAGCGGAATAAAAAGAAGGAGAGAGTGAATGAGAGTAACGGAGAGATGAGCAGAAAGGGAGTGAGATAATTAATGAGAAAGAAACAGGTGGAAAGACAGGGGCTATAGATAATAAGAGACCGAGAGGGGGAGAAGAAGGAATTGAACATCTTTTTCAAGGTAATTGACAAAAAAAAAATCCAAAAAAAAAAAAAAAAAAAACCGAAGACGGTTTGCATAAAAATATTAATTTGATCAACATTTATACAGTGTAGAGGTCTTAGGTTCGAATCTGCATGTTTCTTTTTCTTCTTCCTCTTCTTCTTTGCGTGCTCTTTTACCGCTTCGGGTGTCGAGGGAGATTTATGGTTCTGCTTCGTGGTCTTCTATTAAAAGCTGCTGACGCTGATCACATTTATAAGGTCCTTTTTCCACATATTTAGGCGTATTCGGAATACATGGCTAGACCTATATTTTTTATACCAATCGGCACTTGATTGGTGATGGGATCAGCATCAAGCCGGCCGCACCTACTTCCCAGGAGCGCACATGGTTCCCTCTCAAGGCTGGGTCGTCCTGGGTCACCTCAAGGCCTCGGAATCCTGAAAAAGAAGAAGTGTATATAGTTTGCTCACATACAATATGAGACGTACTAATAGACAGTTGTGTCAAAAATGGTAAACGCGCGGAAACATTCCCTGAGCAGAAGTCTGAGGAAGTCTGCAGAAACAGGGCACGCTTAGCGTTCTTTTGTGTTAGCCGTTAGTTTGTGTTTATCATTACAGTCTAATTGCGTGTTACATTATTGTTAGCAAGTTCTGTCATTTGTGCGCAGGCTTCATTTACTATGATGCTCAACCGATATTTGCAGTCTCGATATATTGCTGGGAATTCATCAGGTAAATAACTCAACCATTATTTTATTTTTTATATATTCTTAATTAATGGAAACAAAATAATTTTGTTTCCATTAATTAAGTCTTAATTTAAGATGTTACTTGTTGAATTCATTGTTGAAGTTGCTGGTTCTACTCTCTACTCTTTGGGAAGTCTTGTTTTGGTTTGTTTGTAACCAAAGTCTGTTGGTGTACGCCCAGGTTGTGATGATGATGGAGGCTTCACTTCACGGAAACAAGTGCAACAGGGTTACTGGCTTTCTTTTGGTAAAAATGTATATAAGTAAGTGAGAAAAAGTAGAAGACTAAACAATATAAACTAGGGATTTTAGTCAAAATTTTTATTTTAGGTTTTTTACTTTTAAACCAAGACAGCTGAATAGAGGTTGAAAAACTGAGTTCAACGGTACCTCAATGAAGTCTGTATGTCAATTCTAAGCGGAGATATTCCCATTTCAGTGACGGAAAGTGCCCTCAAAAAATTATAATGGAAAACACAGAAACAAGATGGCGGCGTGTTCCCAAGTGAAAACTGGACCTAAATTTATCATGTTTAATGTCAATAACTCTCAAGTTTTTTGCTGAACCCCTTAGCAACCATATGTCATTGCTTTCAGGACAGCAAGCTCTAACTAAAGTTGTTGCCTTTTTAAAAAATATGATGTGATGCAAACCCAAATAACATAAAAATGAGTAAATTTATCAGTATTCATTAAATACCTTATGAATTAATTATTATTAATTATCCAGTGAGTCTTGCAAGATGTATACTGTAATATATATATATATATACTTTTATATCTATTCTTCCTGTTATGATGCATCTTTTTCGATTTGTTGAAAAAATGCTTTTCTCACACTCTATTTGTGTGTGTGTGTGTGTATGTGTTTGTGTGTGTGCATACATCTGACCGAAATTTGCTTTATTCCACTGTTTAAAAAATATTAATATTTAATAGCGAGTGGATTGACTTCATTGCATTGTTACTGATTTTATATGGCTTTGTCTTTCTCCACAATACTGAACAAATAACGCATGCCGAGAGCTTAGCACAAAGCCTGGATGGATACCGTAGCTCCAGCAACAGCCCTCAGAGGTCTCCGCTAACCAAAAAAATGCATTTTCGAGTCGAACAATGCAGTTGTAAATGAACGTACAACAATTTTCCGAGCGCGAGGTTAACGGCTTGACCACTTTGATACGGAGACCCCTATATTCCTATATTGTTTTATAACCAAGTGAAAATGAGCGCCCCTCTTACTGATTTAACATAATCCCTTTTTCAATCTTTGTGAGTTATTCTTTCATTTTATTGATGATGAGACATTTCACCACATTGTTCCCCTCTTCTTCTTAACTAGTCACACTGCTTGATATTTTATTTACTTGTTCAAAATAATCGAAGGTAAACCGCTCATGCCCGATTTGTGACTCAGTGCTATGTTTTTCATGGAGTAAAATTATTAAATAAGCTCCTTTGTAATTCGCTTTGGATTTATGTTGTGTTTTCATGGAGATGTAATTCGCTTCGGATTTATGTTGTGTTTTCATGGAGCAGCATTTCATAAGGTAAGAGGAAAAATTACATTATATTTTATTAACTTATCTATGTCCTACGTGATCTGTGATTAAATATTATTAATCATAAGTTGTAAGTAAGTGAATTTATTCAGTTGAAAATAATATATTATTATTAATTTTATTAATCAACTTTCTAAATCATCATCTATAAGTCAATTTTAAAACAGTATCAGTCATAAATAATAACTGTTATTTATACTATTTAAGACAATAAATATGCACCACAAAATCATAGTGCAGAAATGTGTGGCAGACATTTTTTAAAAATGTCAGGCGGGGAGTGGGGGTCAACAGGTAAAAAGGCTTCAAACAGGAAATGTTATTCATGCCTAATGATAAGTTATGGCTTAAAAAATGCTATAATGGCTAAAGATTCAAAAAATGATTAAATAACTACTATATATTCATTTGAAACTATTATTATAAAATATTTAAACCACTGTCTGTGTCTATTTTTAACGCAAAATACCCTTGAAATAGTCTATGTTTAAAAACGTGCTAAAACATTATTTTCAGGTATTTAAAATTATTAAAACTCATGTGAAATTAAAGTTAAAGAAAGGTAAATTATTAATACAAATAAAACTTGCATTATTTTTGAACTGTTTTTATAAATAACTAGATTAATTAATCTGAGATAAACAGTTTGTTTAGGCCATGCGGTAGCCATTTTGAAAAATCGCCGATTCAGCTTTTAAAGAAGTAACTGGGAAGAAATTGAAAGTTTAAATTTTGTGATGTACAGATTCCAGCAAAACTGCCCATATTTATGTAAAAATGGACGCAGAATCCAAAAATGACGATTCCTAGTATATATATTCACTTTAAAAAGGAGATATTAAAGAAATTTACTTCCCGCATGGCAAATAGTGAAATTTATTTGGCTGAACAAAGATCGCTATGTAAGTTAGGTGTCGATTGGTTGAGCGACCTTTTCTGAATAACTTTGAGCCCACATATTCGATTCTGAACAGCCAGTATTGAGCGACAGGATTTCAAAGTAACTGATAGGCAAAGGAGCCATTATTCGTGGACCACCGACGCCATCTTGTAACTAAGCGATCTCTACTTTCGTTTTTAAGTGGGTCACTTGAATGATTAAAATAGCTAATATAAACAATTGTTTTTGTAGGTAGGAAATTACAATCATACATAACAAGACAATTAAAGCAATGTTTGCCCTTTGTGAAGTAAATGTTTTCCCTTTGTAAATTTGAACACAGAAGAAGACTAGGTACTTTAGTCAAATTTTTTAAAATGCCCTCAACACCACTAAAACCAGCATAGTTAGATAGCTGTAAACAATCTCTTTCCAATGGTACCTCATTTAGCCTTGTATGTCATTTCTAAGCTGAGATATGTAGGTTTTTGTGATGAGATGTAGAAAGCAGCTGCTAAAACTTGCCTCCCAGAAACAAGAGGTTTTCTCTGCGCAACAAAACTGCGCAACTTTCGTTTTGGCTTTGTTTACATTGGACTGTCATTGGACAAGGTGGCAGCCAATGAGACACAGCCACTGGCTGAGCCAGCGATTGCCTGAAAAATGTCACTGTACATCTACCTAGCCACGGTTCAGAAAGAAATTTTATACACAAATGTAAAAATGGATGGAGAATTCAGTTATAACTAGCATTACCAGTGCCAGTAACAGTAAAGTTAAAGCCTTAAGCCAACCTTGAATACTTAGCGCTATTTTCAAACTGATGTAACAGAAAAACAGAGGATGTCTGGCTGTCATAGACATGCGCTGTTAATCGGGTTCCTTCCCGCTGTTATCAGCTATTTAGAGTGGGTGAAAATCACACCAATCGCAAAATTTCATGAGAGATTAGGCCCCATTCCGAAACCCCAGCCGACATTTCCGAAGCAAGTTTGGAACGGTTTTCATGGTAACGGAAATTGCCAAAAGATTGCAAATTTCCGGACACCGTAGTCGCTAGAAGACACAAATTGCAAATTTTTTTGCCTTGTATATTTATATTTCTGTATACAACTTTTTGAAAAAGGTTTGGTTTTTTAGTTTATTCACCGAATCTTTATCATAGCACACAGGTGTAAACCCATAAGTGCTCCATTCTACTTCTAACTCAAGCCTGCTGAAGAAGCTCAGTACAATACAATGAAAGAGCTCCATTGCACCGAAGAGGATACTATGCTATCCTCCGAATAACAGCCACGTATTATGGCGATATGGAGGCCAAAAACACACACTGACAGGGCCTCAGTCACATGTAAATTGTGGACTTCCTCGGACGAACACATCGCAGCAAAACTAAGATTATTGTCTGTTGACAATTTCGAGAAACGCAATACACACGATAATAGCGACATAGCAGGGAGAGCACGCGCTCCGACGCAGGTTAGCGATAATGTTCTTCGAATTAAACTCACCGCAGAGCGTATCCCCGGGCGCCGCTACGTGCGGCACGGATAAAGGGCTAAACTAGATGGCTGGGACTTACGAGCACCAGCTACCGCATTTCCTGCAGCTTCCTCCAATCTATTTTTTCGTGAGTCCCAGCCATCTAGTTTAGCCCCCTATCCACGTCACGCGTAGCGGCGCAGGAGATACTCTCGACGGTGAAAACTGCTTTACAAATGCTGCACCAATCATATTAAGCCAAGTTTCAATGGTGCCACAGCAACAAAGAGCAGATTTTCAGGCACTTTTTGCAAATTCAGTGCCACTATTTTCAGATATAAAAGCCTCAGTTATCGCTTAGTAGTCGATTTAGTAATTTTCCCTTTTTTCCGTTCCTCATTATCTTCGAGTTCAAGTTTTTGAATGTTTAAAACACACGACCTAATCAGGCCCTGTCAGGGTGTGTATTTGGCCGCCATAATATGTTGGGAGGATAGCCGGTGTAGTGAATCTCATTTTCTCCCAGTTAATTTATGCCCGACAGATGACGTCAGTAATAAATGTGAGTGGAATATTTTGACTAACTGGGACGGCACAGGGATTGTTGAGTTTGAACTTCACGGGAGTTACAGAAAAAGGCTGATAGTCAAACTTTGTGTGAAGCATAATTATTCACGTGAATAGAAACGTTGACTGTCCAACTTCATGCGAAGTACAAGGAATCACATGCCACGCACCATGTCCAGCCAAATGGAATTCGTGAGACAGAAGGGACACGAAATATTCGGGAAAAACGAAGTGGGGATTAGAAGACTATATAATAGCGTAGAGGCAGTCTCGTTTGGGCCCAGGAACAGAGTGCATGGACAACGATGGAAGATGTGTGGATTCAACATGTGTTGAGTGAATTTGTTCCAGTCCAACTTGGCAAAGAAGCTGGCAGGCAATATGATGTCTGCGGGCCATGTTAGTTTTTCTGTCAGGACAGCTGTTGTGTTTTCGTTCATTATGATAGTGTAGGATGATTGTGATTTTGAACAGAAGGTAATAATTGATACT